TGTGCCGTTAGATATCTGCACTAACTGTTCCTCCCACGACGTCATTTCGGTCTTTACGAATTTTTGAGTGTCAGTTTTTGCGGTACTGTCATGTATTTTCTTGCTAGCGAAGGTCTTGCTGTACATTCGTGGTAGCAGGTTGAAAATCGCGCAGAAGCGCAGAAGTTGACGGCGTCAAGATGACAGCAAAAACTCGTGAAAGCTCCTGCTGTCATAACTTCGATTTGCACTCATACGTCTCCATCTGATGCGGCACGGTTTGGTGAAGACGTCAAAAGAAAGAAACTGCCCTGGACGCTTGCTCTTCTCAGTGTAGTTTCTGGAACCATGAAAATCCCTCGCGCTTCCCAGCCGACTCGAAACGCGTAAAGAATCTCCACTCGCGACAAGCAGGGCAGATCGCACCGCTCAGAACAGAAGTATATATCGTCAGTGCGCCGATGTCGCACACCACTCAACTAGCAGAGCCAGAGTCCCATGTTCTGAATTTGTTTTTCTAAGGACGCGAACGTTTTCGTAGCGGGCAGAAACGTGAACGAAGAATCGATTGCGTCGTAAGAGACGACGTTACCGTGCTTAGGCTTCGCAGCCACCGTTAAACGTTCCTCCGATGATGTTCTCCGCTTCCATTTGCGCCGCCTTTCTTGAAACTTGCGCTTGCTTCGGTACCTTCCCGCGCGAAAAAACGTGCTTTTTAGTGTTGTATATATATCGTAAATCGAATCCGAGATACGTGGAAACAGCCTTTGTCCCGAAAGACAGCCTCTCGAAGATAGCGGATATTCGCGCAAAGTTGGGATATCTCGAACACCGCGAGTCTGCAAGACACTTTTTTTTACTAACTTCTGGTATGAATATTGTTTAGATATTTTTACTCACAAACCTAGGATGTCCGAGAATAATAATTCAAGAAAAAATATTCCCAAAATAAACTTGATGTTTCGACCCGCATCTCCACTTAATCTAAAAAAAATAAACGAAGACACTTAAAACTGTTTACGTGTAGGAATCTTTCGCATTCCTACACGCAGCGCAGTCTTACAAGCAGCGCCTCACGTCTTCTATTTCCACACGACACTCCGGTGGTGACGTCACGCTCCTCCGTTGCGCAGGCGCGGCGCCCGCGCCGGCTCCGCGGTTTCCGTGACGATGCATCCGCGTTGCTGTGCTTTTGGCCAATGAGATTTTTGCATCCGTTTCACTCAGTCAATGGGAATACAGGTGCCGTTTTTCGGTGCTACAGACGGCATTTAGGTGCCTTTTTTCGCTGCTACAGACAACTCCGGCTTCGTTACATGGGACAGTTAATGATTTCGCATTTAGAAGTATGTTGCCGAACTATAGGCTCAGGTGCCAGCCTCTCTCTCCGCTCAAGAGATATCCACATGCATAGGGGAGTTAACTTCGCACGCAGCTAACACGCAAAGAGGCGTTTTTTTGTTTTTTTTTAGGTATGTTCGCATGTATTTTTTATCTCCTGGAAAATAGTGCTCAAGGGCATTCCTCAATTCAGCACGTGCACAGAAAAAGCGGTAGCGCACTGTTCCAGTAGGCCTTAAAGGGGCCCTGCGATGACTTTTTTTACTAATTTTTAACTTGCACCGAACCTAAGCACGCTGAACGTAGTACCTTAGTGAAACTTTTCTTTTCTCGAAATTCCCTTTATTGTAAAAGTAATAGGCGAATTAAAATTACAAAAACAAGCAAAAAATAACCTCCCTCATGACGTCCTTGGTTGCTTATGGGTGGCCGTGAACTAGAGGAGTAGTGAGCTCATCGAGCGCTCACAGCTGCCGCACTCCGTGTCGACGGCGCGAGAGGGCGCCATTAAAGCGTGTTCTGGATAGGCTGTATGCAGCGGGCAGCGAGAGCGGCTCTCATTGCATTTGCTGCGCGCTTAAACACTAATTCGGCATGACACTTCATTGGCCACAAACGACAGCAAACACGGGGTAAAGATCAGTTCAGAATGAGAGCTACGTTGCGCTGCCAAACCGCGAAATGGCCAAACCGCAAGACAAAGCTTCTCGCCGTCGGAACGCTCGGAGCCGGTCGGATCCTCCTTCCCATACGACCGCAGAGCCGCCGCGTACATCCGGGACCTTTCCGTGTAGGCGCCTGATCCCACTACTCCTTTCTAGTATGTGCCGCCTTTTCCACCGCTTGGTGGCGGGTATCTGAACTGGTCATATCTGGTATGTATGTATGTTTCCGTACTTTATGAACCCCATTCGTTTCTTTTTTTATCTAAAATACTGAACAAAAACTACTTTTATGAATAATTGAAACGATTCGCGCCACTTATATTTTGTATTTCGACTAAAGAGAAGCTTTTAGCGGCTCCGACCAGTAGTAAGCCCCGGACCAAAAACGTCCCATTTTGCGCGCTTTCGGTACCGCGGGTCGCCCTCGTCGGTGGAGGAGGTTTCCGCGTCGTCCGGTTAAAATATGAAGCACTGACATTTAGTTACCCTCTCCGTACCCGCTGGCTTGCCCGAATCCCAAGAGACGTGGAAACCGCAAAAACGGTAGACGCTTAAATATGATTGCAGGGCCCCTTTAAGCGCGAGACACATGCGCGTCCAAACTGTCCGATCCGACGTGCGAACTGCCGGAACGACGTTCGGAGGCGAGGGTTTTCGTCGCACCGGAGCGTCGGATGGGGGCTCCGTCCGGCGCCGGCGTGCGTCCAACTTGACAGATATCGCCGCACCGTTGTCCGATTTTCGGAGGACCGCAGCCAATGGCAGCACGAATGGCGCGAAGGTCATGTTGTCACGTGACTTTCGGACCGATCGGGCGAGGAGGCGCTACGTGGCTCGGGAAAGCGGATATGGCGGTGCGCGGTGCGTCACGCGACGCGGGTCGTGTTTGTGAAGGAAACGAACGCCATTCGCGCGACAAAGCAAGCCGGCCTTCTGGGACCGATCGAGACCGTCGAAACCCGAATATACTCCGTTCCACCTTAGGATGGACAGCAGCGGACGCTACGAGCCAATCCAATGTCATCTGAGTGTCACGTGAACTTCGGGAGAGACGCATTAATAGGGAGTTTTCGTAGGTCGCGTTTCCCCCTCCGCTAAGCCCTCCGGAACGAAGAAGTCGCTACTGCGCATGCGCGCGGATAGCCTTAACTGTAGAGTACCCGGTAACGTAACGGGTTGCGGAGTGTGTTGCGGGACGGCGAAAACGATCTACGAAGACTCCCTAATGCGCGCGGTACGTAGTCACGTGATTTGTACGCAGTGCTTGCTTCGCTGGGATGGCTCCGAAGGTGCGCTGCGGTTCATCGCGATTAAGTGATGTTGAGCAGAAAAGTAGCCTCACGCAAAAAAGTTCAAACACGCACACTTTAATAGAATGTAATCAAAATATTGCGTTTCTTTTAAAGTCAGAAAAACCAAGGGCGAGGGAAGTATTTTAGTTTTCTAGGCTAGGTGGGGCGAGCTACCGTCCGTTATAAATATAGCCATTAGCATCCATCCATCCATTCGGTAGAGAGATACGCGAAACTGGGCGGAGCTGAACGGAGCGGCACAACGACGCGTCCGAAACCATGTGTCGCGAACCGCCCTGTGCGGTGATTCGGAGCAGCCATCTTCCCTACAGTTCGCACGCCGGATCGGACAATTTTGACGCGCATGTGTTTCGCGCTTTAATTCGCACTGTGCGATTCTGCTTGCGATTTCGCATCTGTGACGTTAAACACTGCAGTTTCAACGCTTTATTTTTTATTTTTGCCACTGGAACGACGTAGCAACTGAGAAATTGCAGGTAACATCCGACCATATGAATCGGGCTTCAGTCTATTTTTCGTGGCCGTCGCAGAGGGTACGCACACTCAGAAATAGCCTGGTGTAGTACTTTCGCCCATTGTCTCATATATAACACTCGAAAACTACATTCCGCCTTTGTCTTATCGTCGAACTGACGATGCCAACTTTTACGAGCTGCTTGATAGCTGTGACATATAGCTTACTAAATCACTAATGTAGGCGTAAAATACTACAAAAAACACAAAAAAACACTGAGCTTTTGCAGCAGGGCTAATAAAACTTTAAATGTGTTCCTGAAGTCCTTAATGAGTACACCTAGCTATTTTAATAAGTTGCATCACTCGACTATCAAACCGCTTGAGAAAATTGGCATCGTCGATTCAACGTCAGTGAACTGAACTGAATTGTAGTTTTTGGCGTGTTCTATATGGGACGGAGTGTGCGAGTACTACAGCCCCTATTTCTGAGTGTGCGGTTTCTTTGTGTTTCAGTTTGTAGGACATGTTCGCCTCATTAAAAATTGCTTTTCAGATATCTAATAATCTAATGGAAGACAACGTCATCGGGCAGGCGAGCTGGTTGTTCATCAACATACTAAAACACGGGACAGAGAAAACAAGGACAAAACAGAACATTGTGCTTCGTCCTTTTTTCTTGCCACCGTCTCGGGTTTTATCATGCCGATTCCAATTATCTGCTCGTTTCTTTCCCTGACAGTATCTACAAGATTTGGTGAAAAGTCAAATGTGAATGCCAGCACATTAAAAAGCACCAAAAATGGAACATGGCGAATAAGAACTTTAAATTCACCCGCTAGATTTTGGAAAGACGAGAAGGGCAGCTTCTGTATTATGAGCGCATTAAAGACTCAAAAGTATCTTGCCCGGGAAATATTTATTAGGTTTGGAATAAGTTCTGAAAGTTTATTACTATACCGGTTTAGAAATCCATTATTTTTGCAGCACTGCCAGGCCTCCTGCATTGCTTTAAAGTTAAACTATAAGCCAACGTGGAATGTCTATTAATGAAAACCAAGTAATAGAGCGAAGAAACCAATTAACAAGTGCATTCCTTAATCAATATAGGGAAAAAGAAGAAGAAGTCTGTTTTGTTTTCACTGCTATTGTGGGCGTCTCGCTATATTTTGATTTTAATCAAGTTTCTCACTGCTCGGGCCAGGGAAAAACCATACGATCTTCTAATTTGACGCATCGCTCATCGACCATGGCCGCGGAGGGCCTTCCTTCCGGCCAAGCTGCCACGCCAACCGAAATGGAACAGGATTCAACGGGTATGTCGAGCTCCTCAAGCACCATATCCTACTACAAAAGTATCTCTGATGATCAAGATATGAATTCAGAGCCATATCAAATGGTCCTGGGCAGAAAGAGACGCAAACCATCTACTAGCTCAGACTGCAGCAGTAAGACAGTCAAAACCATGACCCAGGCTCATCCCCGCCTTACAGTGATAATCAAGCCCAAAGACCCAGTAAGCATGATTGCAACAATTAACCCGATGAAGATTACAGAGAAACTTGAAATGACTGCTTCAGATGGGGTCATCTTGGTTAGGCCCAATCGAAGACTCAACGTGCTGGCGATTGGCACAAGAAACACTGAAGCCACGAAAGCGCTTCTTGGACTCACCTCATTAGGTGGAATACCTGTCATCGCTTATGAACCACTTCCACGGGAATCGGCGGCCGGAGTGATCTACCAGGTACCAGCAGACATTACCGAAGCCGAGCTACAATCGGTAGTCCGTGCAACTGCACCCGTCATTTCCATTTCTCGACTGGGTAAATCTGAGTCTGTCAAAGTCGTCTTCAGCACGGACACACTACCAGAATATGTCACCGTGGGATACACAAGGTTCAAGTTGCAGCCGTACATAGAGAAACCACGTCAGTGCTGGAAATGCGGTCGTTTTGGACATGTCCAAACCGCCTGCACAAATGGCGTGCGCTCCACTCGCTGTGGAGGAGCACACGACCGTATGAAGTGTGAAGCGGCTGAGCTGCTCTGCACAAATTGCGGTAAAGCACATGACTCGACATCGCATCTGTGCCCTGTGTACCAAAGGGAAAAGAAAATATATCAGTACAAGAGCGAAGCTAAAGTTGGGTACACAACAGCAAAAGCGGCCCTACTGTCATCGAAGGAGAAAGTGCCCCAAGGTCGCTCTAAAACAGATGGTACAAAAACGAAACAAGACCTGGCAGCTCACCAACTTCTACAGGAGGGAATTCAAGATCCACAACCCTCCTCGTCAACACAGCTGCCAAACGCTAGACAAATCCAAACACATGTGAAGCCAAGAGACGCCCAAGTATCCACCTTGGAGTTGAAGAATGAAAACGAATTTCCCAGACTCCCCAATTCAGCTTCGAAATCTGATGTAGAAGTCAAAGAAAACAGGCAACCCAGGCAGGACAAATCCAAGGCACCAGCCAAAGATCAACAGTCTATTACTGGGGAAAAGCTTCAAACAATCGTCAATGTCATCCGTAGTACCCTTTGCACATGGGAGTCTCCCCTATCCCAAGCACTACTAACTGTGATCGATGCAATACTTCCACTTATCAAGCTATGGTCTCGTTAGAGAAGCTTCGTGGTGAAGCCACCGTCCTTCAATGGAACGCGAGAGGTCTTCGAAACCGACTAGCGGACTTTCGTCAATTTGTGTTTAAATATCAATTTCTTGTTATTGCGATTTCAGAGTCGCGAGTGTCTCATAACACCAGGTTATCAGGATATGAACTGTATCATTCTCACGGAGGAAATGAACTCAGCAGAGTTTTACTCGGCGTTCGGAAGGATCTGACATATTTTCAACATAACATCCCGCCACACCCTACAAATGAGTATATCGCAGCAACTATTAGAAAAGCAGAAGTTTCCTTCACAGTTATTGCTGGCTACATACCGCCTTGAGCACCCTTCGACGTTCAAAGGCTCGATACTATTCTACAGCAAACCCCATCCCCTCATATTCTGACGGGCGATTTCAACAGTCACCACGCATCATGGGGAAGTAAAAAGAATAACACTCGAGGACATGCATTATTTGTCCTCACTCTAAAACATGATCTTGTAGTACTCAATGACGGAAGTCCGACGTATTTTAGAGGGGCAACTATGAGTAGTCCTTTAGATGTTTCGTTCGCATCTTCAACCCTCTCTGGGGAAACAACGTGGTTTGCTGATATTGAAACACACGGTAGCGATCATGTTCCTACATACACTACGATTCAAGGAATGCACTGCACGAAGCGACGTACCACAATGTGTTATACTGACTGGGATCACTTTAAAACCAAAATGGAATCCGCATGTATCGCGGTAACCGAGCCAAAAGGTCTTGCAGAGGCTGTAACCTCTTCAACTTCTCAGGCGAAAAAAAATGTCAACTTGACAAAACCTTATACTGCAGTCGATGGTGAATATGAGCGTCTTCGGGCCATTCGTCGACGAGCAGAACGCCGGGCAAGGAAGACTAAGAATGTTGAGGATGTTCGGGCTTCTAGGCGAGCGCAAAAGCGTGTTCAACGCCACCTGGACAAACTTTCCAAAAGACGCTGGAGGTCACTTAGTTCCAGCCTTGACCCAAGAAAACCACTCGATCGAACATGGCAAATAATGCGAAGCCTACGTGCAAGGCCACAGCAAATTCACCCGTTCTGCGCCATCAGTCTGAGTCGCCAAGTAACAGAAACAGTCGTCGCTGAAGAGTTCTGTACCAAGATCACTTCCAGCTCTTCAAGGCCCCATGACAAAGTCAGTGCGCAGGAGGGACATGTATCCGTAAGTGTATGCAAGGCTATCGATGCATGTTTTACCTTAAAGGAACTTCATATGGCGCTCGAGATGTCTAACGCTAGGTCATCCCCAGGCACGGATGGTGTACGGTATTCAGCCTTACGCCATTTGGGGGAGGGAGCGAGGACCGCACTGCTACACATTTTTAACTCCTCGTGGGAAACGGGTTCTGTACCGAAGGAATGGAAAATTGCTCGGGTTCTACCAATCTTAAAACCTGGAAAATCTCCTTTAGACATTAACTCTTACCGTCCGATAGCATCAACAAGTTGCATAGGCAAAGTAATGGAGCGAATGCTGCTTACCCGTATCGAATGGGATCTAGAAAATAGAGATCTATATCCTTCGTCCATGAATGGATTTCGACGCGGAAGAAGCAGCATTGACAACGTTATTGACTTAGTAACTAGTATTGAACAAATGAAGGTAGTAAATAAAAAAACAACAGCTGTATTTGTGGACATAAAGTCGGCTTTTGATTGCGTAGAACACAACGCTATTCTTCAAGATATGAAGGCCATTGGATTTGGAGGACGTGTATACAAATGGATAGCCAATTACCTAAAAGAAAGAGAAGTCTACATATCGACACAGGACGGCAACACCGGTCTTCATCATATTACTAGGGGAGTACCACAAGGAGGCGTCCTCAGCCCGATGCTTTTTAGCATTTCTCTCATAGGTCTCCTGAAAATTCTCCCGAAAACCGTTCACGTGTCTATATACGCGGATGATATCTGCTTCTGGACTTGCAGTAGATCTCTGTATATCAACAAAGCAAGACTACAAAAAGCCATTAACATTACCGCACGGTACCTACACCTCCGAGGTCTGCACATATCGCCGGAAAAGTCAGCAGCGATGGCATTCACAAAAAAACACACGGACAAATACCCAATTGAAATAGACGGAAAGGAAATTCCATATGTCACGCAACATACCTTCCTGGGTGTCACTCTCGATAGGCAGCTGACCTGGAGCCCCCATGTAAAACGCCTTAAAAAGAAGCTCTCCTCTTTCATCAATATAATCAGGATGATTAGTGGAACCAAATGGGGATGCTCTGTCTCCGCACTCCTTGCCCTTTATAATGCCTTATTTCTCGGACTTCTGCGCTACAGCCTGCCTGCTATGCATAACATCTCACGTACTCTTCTAAAAGAACTCGAGAGTATTCAAGCACAAGCTCTCCGCACATGTTTAGGGCTTCCTATAGGCACTTCTAATTTGGGATCTCTTGCGGAAGCACAAGCGATTTCACCAGCCGTTTTAAGAACGCAAGAAATGTCAAGAGCCCATCTTCGTCACAAATCTCGTACATATAAGCATCACGTCACAAATATGGTAACAGAGAGACCATCATCTGGCTTTGCACAAGTTATCGCACTCTTGGAGGATTACATCCCAACTTCTTTCGAAGCTGCGGTAATTCCAAGCTATCCACCATGGAGGTACCCTCACTTAGAAATAACAACAAGTATTCCGGGAATCGCTTCGAAGAAAACAATGCCCACCCCCATGATTACGCAGATAGTGCTGGAATACATAAACCGAACTTATGCCTCATTTAGACATGTCTTCATCGACGGATCTATAATGTCAGCATCATCGACCCTGGGAGCCTATATTCCGTCTCTGGACGCATGCATACAAGCAAGGTTGAGCCACGTTACGTCGTCAACAGCATCGGAACTCGCAGCAATTCGAGCAGCTGTTGCTCGCGTGGGAGCCGAGAGTCCTAGTTTTTGGGCTATCTTTGTGAACTCTAAAACTGCTCTACTCACCCTCTCTACGATGAGGAAATGTAGCCCGAACTTGCAACTCGCACAGGATATTCTGGAAGCAACTCGCCAAGCTTCATGCAAAGGGCACCAGTTTATTATACAGTGGATTCCTGGTCACTCTGGCATAACCGGAAATGTTATCGCTGACAGAGCCGCTCGAAACGCTCATGAGAGCGCTATTACTGTGTCAATCCCGTTTTCTAAATCAGATGCAAATAACTTAATTAGAGATATAGGCCAAGAAATAGCATCTTCCCTTTGGAGAAATCCTCAATATCATTATTCCTATCTTTACAATATCGATCCCAAACTTAGATTTCGGGCACCTCGGGGACTACCAAGGGCAGCCGAGACGGTCCTACATCGCTTGAGACTGAATGTGGCATACACCAAGAGCTACCTTTATAAAATCGGTAGAGCTGAGTCTTCTGATTGTGCTTCGTGCGGAGTCACCCATAACATCAAACATGTATTGTGTGAATGCAAGGACTACAGCCGTGAAAGAGAGCTTATGAAGACAGACCTGAGGCTACAAAATGAACAAGACGTAAGCATTCGTACTCTGCTTGGTCCATGGATCTCTGCTGCTGAGGGGTATAAAGCTACGAAAGCTCTGCTGAAATTTCTAGCAGCTACTCGCTTACAGAAGAAACTGTAGGGGAGTAGATGAACAGCAATGGCCGATGACAATTTCCAGTGAAACATTTTCGTTAGTTTTTTTTTTTTCTTTTTAGTTTTTAATACTTTGGTTTTGTGTGTTTTCTCTCTCTATCTTTTTCTGTTTACCTTTCTCTCTTCTATCCTTTTCTGTTTACCTTTCTCTCTTCTATCTTTATGATTTTCGCTTCCGTTCATTTCACAATGTAGCAAACCAGCACCAGGCGCTGGTTGACATCATTGTTTAATAAACGCCTACCTCTCTCTAATCAATATAGCACAAATTTCTTGCTTGTGTTAGGAATGCTCGAAATGATGCCACTATGAAAACTTCAAACTATCACGTGATCGTGGAAAATATTTTATTGATTTTACAAAATTAAAACCAAAACACAAATGATCATGAAGAAAAAAAAACCTCATAAAACTGACGGCAACTCAAGAAGTCAACCAACCGAGACTTCGCAGCGAACCGTGAATCCCAAGCTCCTATAAAATCAGTTCAGAAATAAAGACCGGAAAAAAGAAAAAAAAAATCTAGCAAATTTTAAAGCACACGAAGCACGCTCAGATTATTCCCCATGTTCGTTGTTTTTTTTTTTACTTTATATTAGCGTTTCTGTTTACCCACGGTGGTCTCGTCGTCGACGTGTAATTTGAAATATCAACAGCGACAACTCGATTAAAACTCAAATTCCGCGAGGCCATGCGATCGTTTTTTTATGTATTGTACATGGTGTCTACCACATCCAATATGTTTGTTTAAACTAGTTTAGGATCTCTTCTCTTTTTTTTTCTGAGCAGCCAGCCGTTGCGGGCCGTAGACAAACCTTGCCGAAGGACGAAGCAGGGTAGCTTCTATGTGGCGATGCGCCGCTCGAAACGCTAATCCCTGGTTAGTATGCCAACCGAATACCATTATAGCAGACAACGCCTACGCAAGACGGCATTGCAGGTGGATCCCCGACGCGCCCCCCTGCGGCAAACTCGCTGAAGTTCAACGAAAGACGCTGCAAAGCCAGACTTGTGCCCACGTTACTTTAAAAAATGTAATGGTTTACAATTACTGATTACCGAGCCTTTAATGTAATGAATTACCGTTACAAATCACTTTCGCCAAAAAGTAACGGATTACCTCCCTCGTTACGTTACAAATTACTTTCACGTTACTTTTACAGTGCACTGATAAAATACAACAACAATAAAACAATTAGGTGTTTTTAAAAATGTTCCGCAACAATACTTTCCAGTTTTCATACCCCAAGCTGCGGTCTCGTGCCTGTAGCTTTGACCCACTGTCAGCTTATGCATGAAAGTGATGAATTTGGTTCAAGTAAAGTGA